TCCCCGGGCTCCTTATCCACAAAGCAATTACCTTCCTGCTGGATGTGTCAATGAGAAGACCTTGTAGCAATTTTATTCAAAAAAAAATTTTCAAAAAGACATTACAAAATTGTTTATGAATATGATAGTTTACAAATTTACAAATTCCAGTAAGAAAAACGGTGATGACGAAATCTATCTTCAAGCAAGGGTGGACTTGTTTTTTCCTTTTTATTTTCCTTTTCTCTCTTGTCTCTCTCTCTTTACCAGCACAAACAAAAGTATTTAATCTAGGTAACAGTAGAACAAACACTTCATCTAGAGTAGAAAAATCTACATTTAAAAATATATTCCATCTACACAAAATTAGAAAACATGAGTTGGTTGCTCCTGAAGTCCTTGTCTCCTTCTTGTGAAGGAGTCTCAACAGTGTGATGTCACAGACTGGAGCCCCTCAGCAGTGTGACATCACAGACCGGAGCCCCTCAGCAGTGTGACATCACGGGCCAAAGCCCCCTCAGCAGTGTGACATCACACACTGGAGCCCCCTCAGCAGTGTGACATCACACACCGGAGCCCCTCAGCAGTGTGACATCACAGACCGGAGCCCCTCAGCAGTGTGACATCACAGACCGGAGCCCCTCAGCAGTGTGACATCACACACCGGAGCCCCCTCAGCAGTGTGACATCACGGGCCAAAGCCCCCTCAGCCATGCATTTATTCTAGATAGGCTTCCAAGCCAGCACTCCATCACGCAGTGCACAAAGTGCTGTGGGCCAGTCCAGCAACACGAAATGCAGACTGCATTTTTTCCAAGTGCTTCCAAAGAGTGTAAAATGCGACACTACTGTCCGTTGCCAGAGTAGGTAGCAGTAAGTCTTCAACTCGACAAAACTAAGCCAGGAGTTTCCATAAGCTGTATGCAATCCAATCATTTCAACTCCGGGCATTTCTCTGCTGATCAAAAGCGATGTTGCAGGATTTGGGGCCAAAGTCTTCTGCAGCGAGCGTTTGGCTGTGAAGTTAAAGCGGCTTAACATACAGAAAATATATTCAGCTTACACAAAAGAATACAGTCCTGGGCTGCTTTGATCATCACTCCAACATAACAGACACCATCGGATCGCAAACAGCGATGCACACATGTGAACCACAGGGGAGCCACTCAGGAGACGGCTTGCACGTCCATAGACCTTGTGGGGCCAAATCCGGAATATTTCACACACATCGCTTAAAGGCAGTTCCCCCAAGGGCTGGTGAGTGCCAACGTCTAAGAACCACTGACTTAAGCTTACAAAGGAAATGAAGTCCATCAATTATGACTGGGCACTAGGAATAAGAACGTGTGAGTGGCCACGATGTGGCCTTATTCCCTGTTTCAGTGGAAGGAACTGAGGTCAAGACAAGAACCTGGGACAACGAAGCTAATAGGACATGTATCCCACCTGAAAACCACGACTGGAGAAGGGCTGTCAGGAAGAGGGCGTGTTGTCTGGAACTGAGAATTGTCTGTGGGAAAGTAAACGAAAGAGGAAAGTGTCTGGGGTGTAGGAGGGACGGGAGAAAGATTGTTACATTGATTTTTAACGTGTTGTTAAATGTACAGGCTACTGACTGGGATGGAGCGATTCCAAAGCCAATTTCCGAGTGCCCAGCCACACAGGGCTCACCGAAGGCTTAGTCCTCGGTTCGGTGGGAATGCCACAGGGCTAACACTAAGCAGGAGGAAAAGAAGGGCCAGATCAAATCGTGCAGGCTTGTGCAGGAAAAAACCAAATGCCTGCCCTACAAAGTCCTTTCCAGGACTTACCGATCAAGGGCCTATAAGACATTCCCTTTGTTAGCTTTGGAGATGATTGTAGTGTGTGCATAACAAGAAGGCAGAAGATGGAGTGCCTTCCTAGAAGTACTGCACGGTGCCATGCAACCTCAGAGTTCATTGCTGTTTTACACACTGTGGTGTCCTGGCCAGACTACACCAGGGCGGTCAGACTGTCCACCTGAACACCACCTGCAAACAAACTGCTTTCGCTTTTGCGTCTGATATAAGGTGTATTCTCTTGGAAGACTCCATCGAAGGCAATCTCATGGCCGTCCTTTCCAGAGCCTTCAGCAGGATGATCTATGATATAGATGAAAGACCACTATGTTTATAAATAGCACTTTTGTTGTTGTTGTTGAGGAAAGTCTGAGTCTTCTGAAACGTTTCCATCACCTGATTTCCACATGCATGTGCTAAACCATGGCATGCAGGTCTCCAACATATGTGTACCAAGTGGTTTTCCAAAGAAGGCAGTGGGTCTCCCTTTCCAGGCCACACTTACTAAGCCACGGACAGCCACTCTGGCTTCCCACCACAGGCACATGTCAGGGCTAAGGTCAGAAGTAGAGATGCTGGAAAACAATTGTTCTCTGGTTCCTAGCTCGGCCGGTTACCTTCGTCCCCTTAGCCCAAGATTCAGGCTGGCAGTGTGAAGTTAGTTCTAATCAGGCTAATACGCTGAGTTGGTGCAAAAGCGACCTTCTCAAGCAACTGATCACATCGGACTTTAACGTCAAAGCTGAAGCGATGAATTGGACACGGACTTTTAGTAGGACAATAGGCTACACAGAATTCTTTCCAGTGAGAAAATGTCCATGAAAATGTGCGTTCTGGGTCTGCGGGGTGTCTCGGGAAGCCACACGCGTCATCCAAGTCGCAAGCATGCGTGTGCTTCCTTGCACGTGTCCATCTTCCCGCAGGTGCGACACAGCTCCTCGGTCTTCAGTGTCGCCCTGGAGTAGGGAAGCGTCTCACTCAGGAGAGACACAGAGAGGCGGCCTGGAGCCCAGCTTCTCTGTGTTGTTGAGATTTCAACTTACAGCTGGTTTGGCTCAGAAGCAACTGGTTGAGAGGCTTAAAATGCCATCTATTCGGTTCACATTTCTTTTGTTCCCAGAAGCTTCGCGAGGTCCGACTGGGCAGCAGTGTGTAAGCCCACGCGGAGTGTCCATCGGGTGGCAGGCACACTCCTCCATTGCACACAGACGTGCTCCTTTATGCCTCCTGAAAACAACGACAGCAGCAAAGCGTTAGAACGATACCTTGCATGGTGCACCTGCTGGAACAGAACGGCCACAAGTGATAGCGCAGATTTCCCTAGCACTCTAAGTGAATTCAATAGCATCCGGCCCGTGGGCTCATTCCGTGGGATTCCAACAGGCCTTCGAGAAGGAAGGTGTTCCAAAAACTCTTTCAGTCGGCCACTATTTGCAGAGTACCTCAAAGATGAAGGAGTAGCCTACCATCATGGGAACGTGTTAACCAAAAGCTCTTCTACGGTCATTCAAACACCTGGCAGAGCCAGCGCATTCTTTGCTGTGCTCCTCTTAAGAAGGGCTTCCAAATGAGCACCTTAGCACTCCCCACTCCCCTTTTTCAAAAACTGAGATCATTCATGAAGAGTGCCAGTCTTTATCTGCAACCTGGTGTGTATCTTGAAATCTCCAGTAAACTACTGAAGAGTTGTTTAAAAATCATTAGGGAAGATGAGCTTTTTCTGATAAAGCTCTCCCTGAAACATCCCCGGCTCCGTGGGGTGTCCATCCTCAGCAACCAAGAGCTGGTCCCTTGTCCTCATTCCAGAAGGCGCTGGTTCTCCTCAGGAAGGGACCACACATTGGCCACTGCCATCACCAGAAATGAGGAAGGCTTAACTAGATGCAATAACCCTTCACGAACTCACCAGTCATACAGGTATGTTTATGGAAAACCATCTTTTCTAGGTCTGAGGAGGTTATCCAAAAACAAATCCCCTAAAGTCTTTTGGAATAATAGATTTAAAAAATTAAAGCTTCTGGGTCTGGTGTGATAGTGAGGTTGGCTAATCCTCCCCTTGCAAACACCAGAATGCCACATGGGGCCAATTTGTGTCCTCGCTGCTCCACTTCCCTCCCAGCTCCCTGCCTGTGACTGCTTTGGGACCCTGCACCCTGTGAGATGCCTGGAAGAGGCTCCTGGCTTCAGATCGGCTCAGCTCTAGCCGTTGCAGCCACTTAAGGAGTGAATCAACTTGCGGAAGATCTCCCTTTCTGTCTCTCCTCCTCTCTGCCTTTCCAATAAAAATAAATAAATCTTAAAAAAAGAAAAAAGATGAGTCCCATGGGTAAAAGAAGGCGGTCATCCCCATGGCTGGATCCTAAACCATCACGCTCCTCATCAGATTCTGGGTGGTCTTAAACCACCCACAAACAGGCTCAGGTATAAAAATGCAGTGTCTGAAAGCAGATGCGCTGTGCTGTGCTAACTGCCGCCTCGCTCCAGCTATGGACCAAAGTGTAGCCACGGCCGCAGCCGCCCTGCCACAGCTCCCAGGCAGAAACACCCAGGCCTCCTCAGTTGGGGACGGCGGCGCACAAACTACACGGGAATCTGAGGAAGGGAGAGCGCCGACATCTGACTGTCTGGGGGAAGGAGGAGGCGCGGGGCGTCAGGCGCGTCAGGTGCGTCAGGCGCGTCAGGCGCGTCAGCCACAGCTTTGCTTCCGGTGGTTTCCCTTACCCACGGTTAATTGCAGGCTGAAAAGACGAATTGGACAATTCTAGAAATAAACGGCTTGTAAGTTTCAAGTTGTGTGCCATTCCGAACACCGTGGATGCCATCCTGCTGCATCCCTTGGTCCAGCCAGCACCTCTGTGCGGTGTGCTCTACCCTCCTGCTAGTCATTCCCTAGAGTCTTGGTAATCAGGTAGACTCCCACTATGCTGATGCTCACGTCCAAGTAACCGTATTTTACTTAGTAACGGCCACGAAGTACAAGAACGTGGAACCTGGCAACCCACAGAAGTAAACGAGGAAGTTATAACCTGTTTAAGTGAAAAGGTGGAAGTTGTCAACTTAAGGACAAAATCGACTGCCGAGTTGATGAGAGCCTATTGTTTTGATTCTCTTACTACACTTCACGTCAACGCGGGAGCAAATGGTGTTTTCTCCAGGACTGAGGTCCGAGGGATGCTGGATGCATCCCCCAGTGGTTAGGGTCTAATGCTGTGGCAAGAGTCTCGAAGAAGACATCAGAGCAGTCACGTGTCATTTCTAGGTTAGCTCTGATGGGTTTTTAAAAAATACTCTTAAATTTTATGTTAAAATATATTCTCCTTCAGTGTATACAAATTTAAGAAAAAAAGAAAAAGCCTTGTAAGGCTTCCCCCTCAATTTGATGGTGCAGATAGAATTCTGGTCCCTCCGGTCTGCACAGCCACGATCCCACGTCGCCTTACCTGGAGGGGCATTGGAGTGGCAGAGTTCCCACTGTGGACACCCGTCTGCTCCGGCGGGCTTCTAGCAGGTGCTGGCTCTGGCGGCGTGTGCGTGTATTTAGATAAGTCCACATTTGCTGTACGGCTTTCAGAACTCGTTTCCATGACAACGGTTCTGCCGACCCAATCCTGACTACTGTTTGAATCCAAGGACGTTGAGCTTTCGTTTTCTGGGCTCAGAGAGGGAAGGTCTCCCCCGGCGAGCTCAGGATAAGAGCCGGCGAAGGAGATGCCGTCCCCAGCCGTGGGCTCCTGCATCAGAGGCCAGGCGTCGGAGAACTCCCCACAGACGGACAGCGAAGGGGACCCGAAGAAAGCTGGCATCGTCTCTCCAGCCGGCCCTGCGTTTCTGAACACAAAAGCCAAAAGATCTTAAATAGTCTGTGGCGAGAAACAGACACTGCCTCCATGCCCAGTCAGCTGTAACTTATTTTTTAGTCTTATTTTTGCGGTCAGAATGCTACTGCTTCCTCCTGAAAATTTGCCTCACTCAGCCAAATGACTCCATTTTCTTTTTCCTTTTTTTTTTTTTTTAAGACTTGCTGATTTTTAAAATTGTAATGGCAAATCTACAGGGAGAAGGAGAGAGAGAGAAAGATTTTCCATTCTCTGGTTGACTTTCCACTTGGCCACAATGGCCGGAGCTGAGCCAATCCGAAGCCAGGAGCCAGGAGCCTCCTCTGGGTCTCCCTCGCAAGTGCAGGGTCCCAAGGCTTTGGGCTGTCCTCGACTGCTTTCCCAGGCCACAAGCAGGGAGCTGGATGGGAAGTGGAGCAGCCGGGATATAAACTGATGGGATCCTGGCACGTGTAAGGCAAGGACTTTAGTCGCTAGGCCACGGTGCTGGGCCCGCCTCCATTTACTTTTGCACCCACTTCTAATTGAAATAGGCTAGATCCAACGTCTCCCAGACATGAAGTCTCCTGGGTGTGACATGATTACTGTTCCATGATTATTGGTCATGAGTACATGACATTACTGGTCATGAGTACATGGGGTAAAAGTGCCAAAAATGATGAGAATAAGATGAAAATAAAATTAAAAGGGGTTAGCAAATAAAGATTGTGGCACTGGATGTTGGCAACCTTGACAGGCCTACTCATTTACTCTTTGTCAAACAACCGACATTTCCTGCCTCCAGAGTCACTGATGATAGTCATAAGGTGATGTCCTGGGGGAGATGTTGGGCTTAGCAGTTCAGAGGCCTCTGAAGACACCTGTATCCCACACCAGACTTTGATACACAACTCCAGCTGCTGCAGATGCACCCAAGTGATGGCTCAAATAACTGGCTTCCTACCACACACACGGGGGACCCGACCGAGTTCCGGGCTCCTGGCTTTCGTCCAGCCCAACCTGGGGTGTGAGCTGCGGGGTAGAAGGTCTCGCTGTCTCTACACCCCTCCAAGTAAACACATACAGATTGAAAAATAAATTTTTGAGAATGAAAAAAGGGTGATTTGCCATAGTTTCTCATGAACATTGGTGGACCATTAGACTGTAGTTGCACAGGAGACGATGAGATTCTGATGAAAAATAAACAGTTACCTCTCCTGCAGGGTGGCCTTCGAGTGCAGCCCACACGCTAGAGCTGCCCGGTTGGCACCGCAAGCCTCGTCGCAGCACAGGGATGGGATCAGGTGCACAGGTCCTGGGGAAACGAGCAAAGAGTGAGGGGGCACAGGCTCTGCTCTCCCCACCTGCCCCCGCCAACCTGTGCGCAGATTCTTTCTCTTAGAAGCAAATGAACCACTTCCTGGAGGAGGTCCCCGAGCATCAGACACAGAGAAGGCTGTGGAAAGTGGCCAGGCAGGGGCTGAGGGGGGCGAGCGAGTGCTTCATGGGCCAGAAGTTTGGGAAGGTGAAGAGAGTTCTGGGGTGGATATAGTCATGGGTGCACAGCCACGTGCATGTTCTTGCTGCTACTCAACTGGACACTCATGAATGGTGAAGATGGCAAATGGTGGGTTGTGTGTGTGATTTCCCACAATGCAACAGGGAAGCCTGACCATAATGCAGAGCGGGAGAGGGTGTGCTTTGCAGGGATTGCGTGCGTGCCCGAGGACACGGGGACAGCGAGGCTTTGTTGCTGAGTGCTCTTGGAATACAGACAAGGACAGAAGAGCTTACTGCCTAAATTCAGTGAGTACACACACACACACACACACACACACACACACACACGCTGTCTTTAACTGCTAGCAGTGTAATTTCAGGACTAAGCAGATGTGTGCCCAGAGCTCTATGAATCATTATGGTCACTGAAGCCATGCCTGGTTTTACTTTCAAAGATAATACAAGCTTATTGAAGAGAAAAACTAAAAAAATACAGAGGGATTAGATAAGAAGCTTAAAAGTAAATATTCCTGAATCCTATAAACTGGAAATGAACGCAGTCAACGTTTTTTGAACATTCTAGACTTCTCGTCATGTACTTGGGCACATACTTGGGATTTTATAAAACCACAAACACATAAAAACACATACATGCAAACCCAGAGAACTTGCAGATGTCCTTCACGCCCATACATGCAGGAGTGTCGCTGTGTGTATTCACATCCCATGAGGAACGGCTCTTTATTTTTATGATCAGAAATATGATAAAACTAACATCTCTCCTTTAAAAATTGCCTATCAGGGGTAGGCGTCTGGTGGAGAGGGGAAGAGGCCTGTTTTCCACATTGGAGTCACTCAGCAGGCACAGGCTCGAGGGGCCCCTGCCCTCCTCGTGGGAGACCTGCATGGTGGTCCTGGCTCCCGACTTCAGAGCCTGTGGCTGTTGCAGGCATGCGGAGCAGTGCAGGTGGGACCTTCGCTCCACCCATCAAATACACATGAGAACTTGTGGGGAGAATGTTCTGCACGGAGACAGAGTTACAAATCCATGCTGCACGGGCAGGATGCTCAGCACGGCCGCCTGGAGCTCCCTCCGAGCCACACCTCCTGCTTGGGCCGTCTGTGCCCACACTGCTAGGAAACTGGGGGTTCCAACCTGGATCCGCTGCCAAGTAACGCAACAGCACGCATACTGAACACTTCGAAAGGTTTCAGAATTGTTGAGAAGCAAAAGACATCATAGTTCCTCACAGAAATGAGTCTGGAACTTTCTATTGTTAAAAGAAGAATGAGACACTACTAGGCAATGACACCTGATCTAGCCTGGAGGGAATTTCATTGGTTAAATGCAGGCGGCATTAAGAGTCAGAATAAACAACACCACCAGTGGGTTTTATCCGTTGAATAACAACCACAGAGTCTCAGTTGACCACAACAAATAAATGAATGGGTAAGAAGGGAACTTTCTTCCTTACTTTAAGAAGCCAAATAATAAATGCAGGAATGATGGCGGAAGTAGAAAACCATCATTTGCTAACCATTGTGGTTTTAACTGATTCAGGAGAGAATCTGAAGGGGTGCTAAGCTAGGGAATGGTTTGGGGAGCATATTCTGAGAGCATTTCAAAGGGGCAAAAACAGCAATTTGAATGTGGAGAAACCTGCCTGAGCAACCTAGGTTAGCCTGCATGGGCATGGGGTGAATGGTCAGTTGTGTCTCGCCATGCGGGGCACCAGCAAGGACAGAGCAGCCCCTCCTCTGTATTCCAGAATGTACTCCTGAAAAGACAGGTGGCAAGCACAAACCCAGGGTCATCCTAAAACACTAGTAATCCTGGAGTTTTCAAACTTGGCAATGTCATGAGACACAAAGAGAAATGAACAAAGTGCCCCCATGAAAAGAGACCAGGGGTACTTGGCAACCAATTGCAACAGCAGCGTGGGGAGCTTTCTTCTGCTATAAATGACATTACTGGTTAATTAAAAGCATACAAGTGTGCTCTACAGACTAGCAAATGAATTGAATTTAATGTAAATGTCCCAACCTGTATTCATTGTGTTGCTGTCACATAAGAGAATATTTTTGCTCTGAGGAACACTGAAAAATGAAGAGGTAAATGCATAATGATTTACAAAACAGAGAGCAAATGAAAAATACATGTGTTTTTGTGCTATAATAAGAGAGGGAGAGAGAATGTGTGTGTGTGTGTGTGTGTGTGTGAGAGAGAGAGAGAGAGAGAGAGAGATAAGCCAAAGTGGAGATGAGATGAACTATTTGAGGTAAAGGATATGTGAGAAGTCTCTGTCCTGTCCTTTCAACGTTTCTCCAAGCCTGTAAGAATGGAAGTTTGAAGACAAACAGTGCTGCTGCTGGCCGTTGAGGAGGGAGTGTGTGAGCACAGGACCTCCGGGCGTCACGTGGGTGCTCCCCACAGGCGCGTCCTCTTAGGGCGACCGGCCACAAAGCCATCTTGATTGACTGTTTCTTCTCCGATGGCAGAGAAGTTCGAAGAAAGCTGTATTTTATCTAAAGTGAAAGCTCATCTCTTAAGAAACTATCCCAACGAACTTTGCCTCTGATAACAGTGTTCGTGGAGAGTACCCAGGACCCCAAAAGGCACGGTGGCTTTGGAAGCTCATTCAGTTACTGTCGACAGCTGTCCAGAGTCTGGGACTCGCATCGGCTAAGTCTAAGCTAGATCCACGCGTGCTGTGGGGTCTTAGGGTTTATTCTCAACCTGTTCCTTAACTGGGCAAGGATCATCACATCCCGCATGAGATCAAGACAGTGATCCTAAGAACACTCTGAAACACACAAAAGCAAATGCGTGAGTTAAAAAAAAATCCGTTCATGACGGATGAAAAAATTTGCTGGGAAATAGAGATACTGGACAGGAATCTATCTGAAATAACAGAAACGAAGATTTCAATATGTTAAATAAGAAAATACAAGGAGAAAACCCTAACAATTCACTTGGTGAAGCGGAAGAAACTATTTGAGGCAGAAGATACCCAGTCAGACCAAAAAAAAAAAAAAAGAAAGAAAGAAAAAACGGGCCCAGTGCGGTGGCCTAGCAGCTAAAGCCCTCGCCTTGCATGCGCCAAGATCCCATATGGGTTCGTGTCCCAGCAGCCCTGCTTCTTATCCAGCTCCCTGCTCTTGACCTGGGAAAGCAGTGGAGGACGGCCCAAAGTCTTGGCACCCTGTAACCGCGTGGGAGACCAGGAAGAGGCTCCTGCCTCCTGGCTTCAGACTGGCACAGCACCAGTCATTGTGGTCACTTGGGGAGTGAATCAACGGATGAAAGATTTTTCTCTCTGTCTCTCCTTTGTATATCTGACTTTCCAATAAAAATAAATAAAATATTTTTTTAAAAAAAAGGAAAAAAAAATGAGGAAAACTGAAAATAGTGTTTGAGGTTTGTGCAATAGTGAGAAACAATGTAACACACGTGCCCTAAGTGTGCCTCAAGGTGGGGAAAGAGAACAGATTGAAACCCTATTCGCTGAAACAACAGCAGACAGCTTCCCTGAGTCGGAGGAAGGCGGGGACAGCCACGTACAGGAAACGCACAGAGCTCCGAACGGACATGATCAGCAGTGACCTTCCCAACAACACGTCTTAGTCAAACGCTCAACAGTCAAATGTAAAGCTTCTAGAATGTGCGAGAGAGCAAGAGCAGATGACGCTCAGGGAATCTCCAGACAGATGGCTCCTCATCAGAAACCCTTCCACGAGCAGATCTGGAGAGCAGCAGCCAAAGTCCTAAAAGAGAAACAGGCCTTCCCAAAGGGAAATGGAAAGGATCTGTCAGCACTCATTCAGCTTACCAACGACACTTAGCAAGCTGCTACACTCAGAGTCGTTGCTGTGAAAGAATGTGAAGGCAGAAAATCTCCTAGTGAAAATACAGATAAAATCCAAAGCAAGTGACAGAAATACTTATGAGAAAGCAGCAGCAATAAGTCATTACCTATTAATAAGAATCTTGAATCTAAATGACCTAAATTTTTCAGTTAAGATACAGGGGTCCAGCGTGGTAGCCTAGCGACTAAAGTCCTCTCCTTGCATCCAACAGGATCCCATATGGGCACCGGTTCTAATCCTGGCAGCCCCTGCTTCCCATCCAGCTCCCTGCTTGTGGCCTGGGAAAGCAGTGGAGGACGGCCCAAAGCCTTGGGGCCCTGCACCCGCGTGGCAGACCCGGAAGAAGCTCCTGGCTGTTGCATCCACTTAGGGAGTGAATCAGCAGATGGAAGATCTTTCTCTCTGTCTCTCCTCTCTGCATATCTGACTTTGTAATAAAAATAAAATAAACCTTTTCAAACAAGAATACATACTGGCTGACTGGATTAAGAAAACCAGAACTACCTACTGTATGCTTTCAAGAAACAAAGCTCACCAGCAAAAATGCACACAAAACGAAACTGAAGAATGGAAAAAGCTATTCCACACTACGGGGAAGCAAACACAAGAAGGAGATAAAGAAGGGCATTATGTAATGACTAGGGGATCGATGTAACCGGGCGATTACTACAAAAAATGTACACGCACTCGATGTCACCTTGATTTATATCGCATATATATATATAGAAAGAGAGAGAGAGAGACAGAAAAAACCTGAATAGACCAATAGCCAAAATACTAGAGTTAAACACTGGAGGAACTCTGCAAGCCACTGTCATAGGCAGAGACCTGCTGGAGGAGCCCAGAAGCACAGGCAATAAAAGCAAAAACAGGCAAGTGCGATTGCGGCAAGCTAAGAAATTTCTGCACCGCCAAGGAAACTCTCGACAAGGAGAGAACCGACAGCTAGTGAAAGCCCTTGCAAACTGTGCGGCGAGAAAAGATGAACACCCAGAACTTATGGAGATATTTAAAAATTTTTCTGAAAGATTTATTTCTTTTATTGGAAAAGCAGGTATACAGAGAGGAGGAGAGACAGAGAGGAAGATTTCCCATGCAATGATTCACTCCCTAAAGTGGCTGAGCTGATCTGAAGCCAAGAGTCAGGAGCTCTTCTGGGTCTCCCACGCGGGTGCAGGGCCTCAAGGCTTTGGACCATCCTCCACTGCTTTCCCAGGCCACAGGCAGGGAGCTGGATGGGAAGCGGGGCTGGTGGGACACGTACCAGTGCCCATACGGGATCCTGGTGCATGCAAGGTGAGGACTTTAGCCACCAGGCTACTGTGCTGGGCCCAAATCTATGAAGATTTTAAGAAACGAAACAACAAGAAAGCAAATAATTCAGTGAAGAAATGGCTGAAGGACATGAGCAGACAGTTTTCAAAGGCTGAAACTCAAATGGCCAACAGACACATGAAAAGATCATGTGCTACCATGAGTCCGTGGTTCAGGGTTACCAGCTAGCAGGGTCATGCAAACGGACAGCATCACGAGATTTCGCCTCAGCAAGCCAGCATGGCTGCCGCGCAAAAATCACACGGCACTGAGTGCTGGTGAGGACGTAGGGTTGTTTGCGGGAATGCAAATTACAACAATTATTCTGGAAGACAGTACCGACATGGCTCAGGAAGTTGACAGCAGATCTACGCGATGACACACCCATCCCCCTCCTGGGGATTCACCCATATGGAATGAAAACAGTAAATCAAAGAGTTATCTGTGTCCCCACTTTTACTGCGGAATGATTCACAATAATAAAGGAAACAACCAAATATCTAACAACTGGTGATTTGGATAAGGGCTGAACTCCTGTTTTTCCCTTTGCAACAAAATAGATGCAACTGGAAGCCATTATGCTAAATGAAATAAGTAGTCCCCAAAAGGCAAATATTGTATGTTTTCTATGATACGTGGCGATTGTAGACTGTAAAAACCGTGTACAAATGCAATGTTTATATTCCTGTGGAACTATGGTCTTCCCACTTTTTACCTGTTAAATATTTGGGTTCCTGGTAAATTAAGACTGTGATTATAGGACATGTTGATAGTGTGTCTTTGTAAACATTACAGAAGAAAAGAAAGGAAGGAAGAAGGAAAGGAGAAAGAATGACAGAAGTATCGCTATCCTCTTAGGACTTTATGAAATCCATTTCTCTTTATATCAATAAAAATTGAAAAACTTAAAAAAAAAATTAACTAGAAAATTCCTCCCTCCCGCATGTCTTCCAAAGAAAGATTAGACGCCTGCGAAAGGAGAGCTCGGTCTTACTGCCTCCCTTAATGTACAGAAAGAGTGGTCAGGATGGGCTGGGCCATGTATCAGCATAGCGGAGGTAGGAGGACTGTTACGTTGGATGGTTGGCTAGGCAAGACTTCCCTTTTCAGATAAGGTCAAGTTGTAAGGTGGGGACGGGAGCAGGATGTGCGTCCATGAATATAAAGTTGTAAGTGGCCAAGAATGTTCATCCAAGTTAGAGACCAACTTCCGTTGCAATTCCTGGCTAGAGCGTCAGGCCCGGCAGTCATCGAAAGGCAGTTCATGGAAAACTGCCACGCCCTCCTTCTTCCCTCTTCCCACAGAAATCCAGGATGATGCAATGGTGCTCCCTCTGACCTAAAGAGGCGGCAGAGGAAACCAGTTCCTGCCCTCCCCGACGGGAAGTGCTTCCACTTGACACTGACTCCAAGCAAGAAAAGCAAACTCGCCTGAAACAGCAGCTGGGGAATCCTAGAACTTTAGCAGTATGGTGATTTTATCTTTTAATAGAGACCGGGAAAAACATCCTTACGACTGTAGGGGAGGGGCAGGAGATCATTTCAGATTAGCTTTTACTAGAAAACCAAGCACAGCAACGTGCCTGGGAGATGAACTTGGAGAACTTTTTTGCAGCTTTCAAGTCCACAGTTGTTCCAGCTGGAATGCCCGCGTGGCTCCACTTACCGTAAGTGGCCTGAAGACACTGACAGCAGGCCCTGTGAGCACACGGGCCGAGTCGCGATCTGTCGAAACACGACAGCTCAGAGCCGTTGTATTGCACGTCCTGCGATCTCAGAGACCCTACACGGGAGAGGGAGAAGAGGTGGGTGAAGAATTCTGTCACAGAGCGCCGCGTCCTCCATCAGGGAGCCCTGTTAATATCGTCGTGGTTATCAGCACCACTGTGGCTTCCGTCGTTTTAAAGAGCACACCCACCATCATTCCAAGGTTTGATTCAGATGCTGCACGACTGATCCGTGTGGCTACAGCACGATAAACTGGCCGCAGGCTGACAACATCCAAAGTCAGAAATGCATTGGATACGCCTAACTTACTGCACACCCCGCTTAGCCTTGTCTCCTTCCACGTGCTCAGAACATTCCAGCAGCTTACAGAACGGGGCGATCCCCCAGCACAAGCCTATTTTTTACTGGAGTGTAGGTATCCACGTGGCTTATTGAATCAATTGCATTGAGGGGGAACCTCAGAGGATTGGATGTGGGCTCTTTTGCATCTAAGGTCAAAACGTTGTCAGACCATCTTAGCTGCAGGACTGCCTGTATTTCTTCCTGTATGAGGCATGGGTACGAAATAATTTGGTGAGGGGCTGACACAGTGGGTCAACAAGCTAATCTCCCTTCCACCTGCTAATGTCAACATCCTTTATCGGCGCCAGTTCATTTCCTGGCTGCTCCACTTCTGATCCAGCTCCCTGCTTATGGCTTGGGAAAGCAGCAGGATGCCCAGTGGCTAAATCCTCTCCTTTAAGCGCTGGAATCGCCAATGGATGCCTCTTAGTGACCCACCTGCCTCACTTCCCATCCAACTCCCTGCTTGTGGCCTGGGAAGACAATGGAGGTTGCCCGAAGTCTTGGGACCCTGCACCTGTGTGGGAGACCTGGAGGAAGTTCCTGGCTCCTGGCTTTGGACTGGCTCAGCTCCAGCTGCTTTGGTCACTTGGGGAGTGAACCAGTGGACAGAAGATGTTTCTGTTTCTCCTTCTCTCTGTTAAGTCCACCTTTCCAAAAGAAATAAATCTTAAAGAAAGAAATCAAGCAGCAGAGGATGGCCCAAGTCCTTGGGCCTCTGCCATGTGGCAGACTTGGAAGAGGCTCCTGGCTCCCGGCTTTGGACTGGGTCAGCTCTGGCCACTGCAACCATTTGGGGCATGAACCAGTGGGTGGAAAAATCTCTCTGTGTGTCTCTCTGTTGAGGAGGTTTCTAGGGCCAAGAACAATTTTCGTTCTTGCCTGGTGGCCCGAGACAGCACCGTGAATTCAGCATCCTTGCAAAGTGCTGCCTTTCCTGGTGCGGCCTGTGTGTGTTTTCATAGCTGCTCATCACTGTCAAGTCACTTGCTGAATGACAATGACAGTAAACGTATGCCCTCCCCCCCCACCCCCCACATGCTAAGCCACGTCAGGAGCTGGACACTTACAGCTGGGCTTTTTCTCCATGAACTGTCTCTTGCAGTAGATGACACAGAGGATGAGAAGGGCCAGTAGCACGGTGGCCAGGGCGCTGCAGATGACGGCGGCCAGGGCCGTGTCCCGCGGGCTGGAGGCTGTGGACGCAATCTTCACGAGGTTGACCTTGCTGGTACCTGCAAACCACAGGGAAGGAGTCAGTGTTCTCTCTGACCGAACCAGGATATGCGACACCAAGAAGCTGAGCGGGGGCCTTTGTGCAACGGCAATAAAGCTCGAGAAAACCAGTGTGAGAGACTTACACAAATGGCCCAGCCACCCTTTGTCTAAGATCCCTTTAAAAACACGACTCTATCCTGCACCTCGGAGTGCTAGATGCACCTCTCTGTTCTTACCACACTGTGGACATACAACCTTCAACACACCGTGTTGTGGAAATGTGCTTTTATGGGGCTGATGCTACGGCAGGGCGGTAAGCCTCTGCATGCAACATGGCCAAACCCTTAGGACTGCCAATTTGAGTCCCCCTGAAAATACACCTGGAAAAGCAACAGAGGATGGTCCAAGTGCCTGGGCCCCTGCTGCCGACGAGGGAGACCCAGAAGCTCCTGACTGCTGGCTTTGCCCTTGCCCGGTCATGGCTGTTGAAGACCTATAGGGATTGAACTGGCGGATGGAAAATTCTCTTTCCTTTTTCTGCAACTCTGCCTTTGAAACAGATAAAAAATAAATCTTAAGAAATCCGCTTTTATGTCCTCCAAAAGCAAGGCTGCAAGCCTGACCTTTTTCTTTGTGTTGCCAGGGCAGCATGCTTGGGCAAAGGGTAACTGCTTGTGCACCCCTGGGGGATTGAAATGAGCCCACGGCAGACACATTAACAGGAGGAAAAGGCATGGGGATTCAACCGCACGCAGAGTCAGAGGGGACAGGCGACTGCCCCGGGACTCTGTGCGGGTCACATGCTCGTATTCTCTTCCTTCTGGGGAACGGGGGCCACTTTCAAAGAAGTGTCATTGATTTTTAGGGTGCAGTAAGAAGACCCGGAGAGCAGCCACTGGGATGCAGCGTGTCTGGGGGTGGCGCGGGCCCTCCGTCTCCCTTCTTGGTGTGGTGTGGGTTGACACTCCATGAGAGGAGCCCAGGCCCCTGTGCTCCTGTGTTGCAAAACTGCTTTTCAGCGGATGAGGGAACCTCCAAGAAAAGCCTCTTCCAGCATCCGCTGGCTCCCAGATGTCTTTAGCAGACTCCATCATCAGCATGCCAGAGTGCCCTACGTTGGCATGTCATTTTCTGGGCTTCTTCCGCAGGTACGTCATAGTTCTTACATAGTACCACTAGACTACATGTTCAAGCAGACTGAGCCACGATTCCCAATTTCTGAGACAAGAAACATTTTGAATACCATAGCTGTTAGACTACTCAAACCCACTGAAGTTTCAGGGAAAGATCAGTGTTCCAGTATGGAGAGACACACACGGCCATGTTTATGGAAGTTAAGCACTTATTACTTCCTGGCTAATGGTACATTCTGGAATCCCACGGCCTGGGTCAACCTCCACGTGTGCGTCTCTCTGAGTCTCCAGCTCACTTCTGTTCAGATGGGCACCTCTTCATCTGCTGGCGCAGAGGATTAAATGGTTACCATGGAAAGCACTTAGGACAGGCCTAAGTGTACCTGGAGCTATAGGAACAGGAGCCATTAACAATGATGCTAGTACAGCCAGCGATTTAACTACCCTTAGGGTGCTGCCACGAACTTTTTAAAATCATATGCTGCAGCATATCCCATTAATTAAGCCCAAATGAAACTGAAAGCGCAAGAAGTCTAATTGGAAGATCAGGGACAGCATCCCCTACCACAGTGCCGGTTCAAGTCTAGCCTGCTTGTGTTTCCAACCCAGCCCCCTGGGAAGAGAGTGGATGGTTGACCAATCTTTGGGCCCCTGCCGTGCACAGGGGAGACCAGGACAGAACTGCTTGAGCCATACCTAGCTGCTGTAGCTATTTGCAGAGTGAAATTCTCTCTCCTTGTGGCTCTGGTTTTTTTTCAAATCATACACACATCTTTAAAACAGAAGATCACTTACGATGTGCCCTCCCTAAGTGAGCTGGTGTGGGCCTTACTGCCCGCTCTCCAGGTCCAGCTCTTCAACATGCCATGCCCTGCACACATCCACTGTGAACCTCCCGTGCGAGTGAAGTCACCCAGAAACCAAACCCCAATTCACTTTGACCTCAACAAAGCCTAAAACATAGCCTAAAAGCCTCCATTTCCAAGTACCGTATGCAATGATTAGTGACCTGGGTTACATTCTTCAGTGCTGCCATTTCAAAGTCTCATGGAACTTTGCACCCACAGTGCATCTCAGGTGCCGTGTTTCAATTGCTCAGGAGCCGCGTGTGCCTCGTGGCTGTTGTGCAGGGCACTGTGACTCTAGAGAGCCAAGGTTCTCGCTCACTTTGCACAAGCCAGCTTGTCAGTGGTGATGTGCCCCTCCTTGCTCGCTCTTCGCCTCCAGCCCGGTAAGGCTAGAACTACGGCGAGATGTCGGAACCAATATCACTAAGTCACCAAACAGGGTAACAGCAGGAGTCATTCCGCAATGTGAGCTTTGGTGTTTTTTTTTTTTTTTCAATCTCAATGATTCTGGAAAAGCACGTGAACTACATGACCTGGATGTCGAAGAGGAGTGAGCATGCATGATCACATGTGGTCAAAGGCCATTTATTTATAAACATGTTGAATTTTCATATTTTGTCACTGACAGATGTGGAGGAATAGCGCAGTCATCAAACAGCATGTACCAAATGTTCATCAGAGAGCCAGCTAAACAAATCCCACTCCTGACCTGTCCGAGATTAAATGGAAAGCTGCGAGCCCCCAGCGGAGGCCAGGCTCACAAAAGGACACGCAGGAGTGCAGGCACAGCTGCATAGACCCTGGCAAAGAAATAGCTCAATGGGGATTACGTCCCCTGCAAGCGAAAAGAGGCCACATGCGAGGGGAAGTGACTAGCAAGTGCCAGCATTATCTGCTGGGATCAAAGCACGAAGCTGTGGGAAAGGCCATCTCATTTACATCTGTGAGAAAGGTCCCCTTTAGTTTTTTTTCTTGGCCTCCGTTCTGTTGGGTAACCTCACCCTATCAGGGTGGGCTTCAGCAGGAGCTCTCAGCCAATGAGCAACAATACACAGTGGGTCTGCAGCGAAGCCCTTTCCCCTTCTCAGTGATGTCTTAACTATTAAGTTAAGCTCATCGATGGATTCAGCGATGGATGTCCAGGAACGCCCTCAAAGGAATAGGGACTTGAGGGTGAAATATGACATGCTCTTACTGCTTGAAACCCACTTAAAGCGCATGGTTCAACTTACTTGCCTTCATCTAAAAAATAATTCTCTGACTTAGAAAAGGGTTAAACGTGCCCAAAGTGAGGAGTTTGGCGTCATTCAATCTGCTAGTTTGTCCCTGGAGAGTGAAAACAACTTCTGGATCAAATGCAACATCTTGTAAACATGTCTCTCTCACAGGACACTAGGACTGCAATTTCAATGCAGTTTTATTGCCACAATCACATTAAGGAAAAGTACATGCAACCCACTGCTGATTTGCACAGCTCCCCAGGCAGTGGCAGCCAAAGACAGCCAAGAAAGGATGTGTTTCATCACTCAGCCTTGCAGAAACAGCACCTGATTCACTTGCGCATCCTCACCAAGGCCGCCTGGCGGGAAGGGCACAGGCAGCTTGCTTTCACCTGCTGGCTCACTCCCCAGATGACCACAGTGACCATAACCAAGAGCTGGGTTCAGCTCCCCCACATGGGGAGCAGAAACCAAGGTCGATGACTGGTGCCCCAACGCTGCTTCCCAGGGTGTGTCTTCGCAGGAAGCTGGAGCTGGGCTCCGGAGCTGGCCGTGAAACCCAGGCGCTCTGGTGTGGAATGCTGGACACATGAAGTTCTAGAATAAAAGTCTCGGAATTGCATTCTTGATTCCTTGCACAGGCTTATGACAACACTTACGACTCTTTTAATAGGAAATTAGTACATCGTTTTTAGCTTCGTCACACAATGCAGACCTAAATACAGAAGTTATGGGACATCGAAGTCAGTACCGTTTGCTTTCAGAAACTCATTCACAGAAGTTCCTAGTAAAGCTCATTTTTAAATAATCCTTTGTGACTGAAGTTGTCATAAGTAAAGGGAGTGAGGGAGGTTTGTCCTCGCTGCAGGAAGTAGCTTAGTTTCTATTCCTGAGTTTTTGTTAATTGAGACGTCGCTGAGAACTCCTCAGCAAAGCACTACTACGTGAGAGAAAGTGTTGTTTTGCTGACCTGTGGTTGCTGCAATGATATTGGGATTAACGATTCATTCCACCCACAGCCCTGGCTGTGCTCCCTGCCAGCAGGTCACTAAGCATAACGAATGCCTGCAAGGAATTCTATCCCTCCCTTATTAGGATTCTGACAGCACTCCTGCAGGAGAGGGACTAGCAGCATCCACATTCTTTGGAAAGTTTCAACTTTTCCAGAAACAAAGGCATCTGTTACTCCCATGCATAAAGTCATGTAATTCCACTATAATCTTAGTGCTGTCCTTTGGCAATGGACTTCAGAGACAGGACTGTCTTCTTAGATTTTACATGACACACACTTTACAATCTACATCTCCCTAGAGTTCAACCTAACTGGGTTCTTGCGCTGGGCTTCCTGCTGGGTGTTAGAGAGGACCGCGGAGAACCTGGCAAGACAAGGGAGGTCCCCAGCAGAGCTGGTCCAGTTTGACCTTCTCTGGCATGTGCTGGAGTGGAGCATCCTGCCCCTCTCCTCCTAGCTTTGGCTCCAGAGGAACATGGGAACGCAGCCTGGAGGACACGGATGTTAAGGAGATTATTACAGCAGACATGCAGGCCCCAGAGGCAGCTGCAATGCAGCTACCTGCTTCTGTTGACCTGTGAGCACACCACATACCACACACACACACACACACACACACACACACACACACACACACACACACACTCACACACACACACACACGGCCAACACCCTTTCAGTAACCTCACTTTCTAATCAGATTAAGCAGAAAGAGAGGCCACCGAGTGCCCATAGGATATGGGATGACACAAGGCCCCAAGCCACATGTTACAGGTTCCATTGCCGTGGGACAGCCTGTGGCCT